CGGCACGAAAACCATCGAGCACACCCACCGGTGGAATTTAAATTGGTATCGATAGCCCGGCCGTGGAATGTAGAAATCGTTTCGTCACGGAATGTGAAAATTGTTACGTCATGCGATCGACATTCGAAACATTATCGCGACGAAAGTAACGAAATTCGCTCTCTACCAATCACTGGCATCTGAATAGCTTTTAAACAAAAGCGAAGATTTGAAAGAATATTATATAATAAATATTAAATAATAATTACTCGACTGAGAATTCTAGCCTCGACAGTAGCTTAAAATTATTCAGGATTTGATTGTTGGTTAAAATGAGATTTCGAAATTAAATCTTCATTCTTAAATAACAGAGATTTCGGCGAAATTCGTAGTTACCCTCTGAACAATTGAATTTAATGAAACATTACTCTTTCCTTGCAAATTCATTGGTGCAGTAAGATGAATGATCGAAGATCGTGTTCTTTAACGACGCTCGAGTTCAGATCCAAGACTACCAATGTTCCATTTCAAATGTTTTTCTTACTCACGAGCGATATGATTGATTACGAGGCATTAACGTTAAGCCAGGGTTACACACTTCTCTTCATACAAATCCCGAGCCCCGTAATATATTACCGTGGTCTGCGCCGAGCAGGTTCCCTTTCTCTTTTCCACTCGGGGAAAAGGGCAAATTAGTCGGAAAATGATACCCTCACCCCCGTAGACGTTGTAATCGCTCGTAAGGGCAGCCTAGTGAAAGAAACAAATCGTAGAATCTATTGTATCGGACGTTCAAAGATCTACGCACGATTATATGAATTTAATTAGAAACAGAATGATGTTAGAAAAACCTTATACAGACACTTGGAATGCATTTAATATTTAAAGAGTGTATACCACCAATTGGGACAGTTGTAATGAGGAAAGTTGCCTATGGAAATGCATTCTCCGCGATCCATTAGATTTAACAACCGAAACTCTATTTTACCATTACCCCGCGGTAATGGAAAAGAGTCTAAGGGGATCCCAGCTGGAAAATCCCTGCAGCTTCGTGGAGAATTAACATACCCTTGGATCTGCATAATTCGCCAACCGGTCCAGCTTATCTCGATTCGCGCGGTGGCAGTTGTGTTTGTTTTTCCTATCTGCCTGGAAAACAGGCAACCATTTACGTATCCCATTTTTCATCCAACCGCGAGGCCCTTAAAGCATACAACACGTTCGCGAGGATAATCGATCCTTTTGTACTTTCTTTGCTCAAACATGTTTTGAGTCTTTCTATTGTCGTTGCACATATCCAACCGTCTCAAACTTTGCGTGACAAGTGAAACAAAGTTTCACTTTATTAGATTTACGAGAATTAGAATCTTGAGTGGAGGTCCAAATGGACCCAGGCCCAGCGTGTTACCAGAAACAATAAATATCTTTCGAGAAATAATAATGGCGAAAATTGCATCTCCAATATCGTTTTAAGTTTTCTTCTTACGTGAACCTGTCAGAAAATGTAAAATAAATTGAACTTAGTTTGTTTAACCGTTCCGTTCAGTCTTTTCAACCCCGACGGTGTTCCTCAGATTTGCATAAAGCAGATCGACTTATCTCGCGCCGGTTGCCCCCGGAATAGTTTGTTTTTCCTGGATCCTACCGGTTTGAGAGCCTCTGCAAACAATCTAGTCGCGCAGCGACGCGTGTGACGCGCAAAATGCGGGCGCTTCGGACCATCGACCCTCCTCCACCCTTCGCTGAACCACGACCCCGATACTCCTGGAAAAATGGAGAGAAAGAGAGAATGAGAAAGGGAGTCGAACGGGGGTGCACGTCTTCTTGCGCACCCCCTGAACCGGACGCGTGCCACGATCCACGGACCAAGATAATTGCGAATAACACTGCGACAAACGGCTCAGATACCGCTGCCCGATATCGCGTTTAGGGGTGGACTTTTGTCTCGATCTATACGTGTCAGACTTCGTGGAGATTGTAGCTTTCGGTTGACCATATTGGGTATAGAGAGCTAAAAAAGGTGTGATAAATAGCTAAAGATACTCTGCAGAATATTCTTTCAATGGAATAATGCGAAATATACTGTAGAGGGGGTTGAAGTTGACAATAGGATATATCACCTGTCTAGAACTTACTTTAATTCAGCAGAAAAATAGAGAGAATTGTCTCGTCGTATTGGACATTATAGATATGTCTCCATCTGGAACCTCTGTTAAAAAATAGAATTTTTCTTAAAAAGTTAGTAATTTTCCTCAATGGAACAAGAGCTACCTTTGAAGGGTCCCGAACGTCGAACCGACTTCCTCAATCGGAAAATCCTCAGACCGTGGCCCCAGATGGGCCAAAGGGGAGCATTTAGCCCCTGAAAGACTGGCGTCATACGTCAATCACTACGTAATACCGGGAGATTAAAATGTCCTGGGCGCCAGCCCCGAAATACTCATTCGCGTACTCTCCGTACCGCGAGAAGCAACATATTAAGAGAATACTATGGCGAAGGTTGCTCTCGAGGATGCTCCATGGTTATCGTAGATTTCATGGGTATCGAGCACCCGGGGGAAAAGGTCTTCCGTGGCCGGATATTCAATAGAGTGAATCCATCAATTCTCGGGATCAAGGGATCTACGTTATTTTAGAGAATGATAGGATATAGAGGTTCGAAGGGTGCGTTGGATGGAACCTCGTGAAAATCCTGTATCATGGAAAACATAAATTTGGAACAGATGTGACGTTCAAGAGGCCTAGAAAAGTTACATTATAATTCCACAAAATTGTAGTGAGAATTCAATCCGACTGATGTTAATAATATTATTACTATGCTTCAGAACTGTATGAACGATCTCTGTTAATTAAAAGATCACTCAGATCGTGATTATACGTGCTTGAAAAGACAAGCTCTACAGATCGGAATAAGGAATAGCAACGCACTTCACATATGAGAAACAGCAGAATCCGAGCACTTGTTCATCCCTCCCCAGTTGCATCAAGAGGCAGGCTCCCACCGAACAGAAGCATTAACCCTGATCCTAGCGCGATGTTCAGCAGAGCGGATGACAACGTACTCAGCGAGCGGCTTAAAGCTCTCTCTTCCCGCTTTCTACCCGCGTAGCCTTTCAGGTCCGTCTTCGATGCCGGGGACCACGAGTACAGTACATAATTTTTCGACACGTGCCACGTCAGTATTATTAATTACCCCTGGCGTTGGAAACAGGCTCTGGAACAATTACTGTTTCGATGTGATTAGCATAGTACTGATTTATGACGGGAATAATTAATTTGGGAATGTCCAAACTTTGAATTCCAAATTTAGACACTTCAATGTATGGAAATAAAATTGTTTAAATTTCTTTCTTGTTGTTGGTTACAGGACATCCTCATTTCTTTAATCAATTATCTTGCGGTCTCGATCTCGTCTCGATGGCCGGTGAATGGCTGACAGCGACTGCCAACACCAACATGTTCACTTACGAGATCGCGCCTGTGTTCATTCTGATGGAGCACGTTGTACTGCAGAAGATGAGGGAGCTGATTGGCTGGAGCGGTGGCGATTCGATCTTGGCGCCTGGAGGATCCATCAGCAACCTTTACGCCTTCCTCGCCGCCAGGCACAAGATGTTCCCGGCCTACAAAGAACGAGGACTCTCCGCGATCGGTGGCCAGCTCGTTATGTTCACGTCTGATCAGGTATGTCTGAATCTACTTGCTCCTGGTGCCGGTAATCATCGATGAGTGTTCGAAGGCACTGAATGTTCAGACGTCATCTTCACCTCTGAAGTGTATAATTCTTTTGGAATATCTGTTTTCGTGATGACAGGTAGGTTGTTAATAATTGTTTCACTGTGTTCCATAGTGCCATTACTCCGTGAAATCTTGTGCCGCCGTCTGTGGCCTGGGAACCGACAACTGCGTGATGGTCCCGAGTGATGATCGAGGTCGTATGATCCCGTCGAAGCTAGAGGAACTGATTATGGAACGCAAGGCGAGAGGACACATCCCCTTCTTCGTGAACGCTACCGCGGGAACGACTGTCATCGGTGCTTTCGATCCTATCCAGGAAATCGCTGACATTTGCGACAGGCACAAACTCTGGCTCCATATCGACGTAAGTAGAATTAATTCACATTAATCACTTCTCGATCTACACTATCATTCACAGAAATTTTATATGAATAAGATATTTCCATTCCTTTTCCTGTGATTAAAAGTTGAACTTACAATCTCTATATTCCAAAAACACTTTCAAATGAAAAATGGAATTACTGTATATTCTAATGAACTGAAATGAACGTTAAAATTTTGAAATCGTCCTCGTGAAAATATTAACAAACACGAAACAACCAATTAGTTTATGACAAGATTCGACGAATGATACATTTCGAAGCTACAAAGGGAGAACAGAGATTTCCACTTAGCCAGACAGCTTATTCAAATCAGCTCGTCGTTCGAACGATAAATGCCAAACACGTAAGAGCCTTAACGTTAATAATAAATGTGAGAAACACCATGTATCCCCGCCAGAGGCGATTCGTGAGTGGTAAATGGGGGTAAAATTCAGCAGATCCGGGCTTTACAAGTCAACGCTTAACCAGGACATCTCTCGTTTACAACTTTTACAGGCGGCTTGGGGTGGTGGACTGCTTCTCTCGAGGAAATACAGACATCCCAGATTGACGGGCATCGAACGGTGAGTGTTCTTTGTTTAAACATTTCTCCAACAAGAAAAATCGACCTATCATACACCCTCGAATTGGTTCTACGCTGACGGTTGAAGACTATTTTCGATCAACCGGAGACACCTCCACATGTGTTCCCTCGCAGGGGTGACTTAATCCACGCGCTTTATAGTTTATTGAAGCTTAGTTTGATGGAGTCACTCGGAAAAGAGACGCTCACACTCAGCCAGAGAAGCCCTAATGCAGTGCTTACGCGGGGCAAAATCGATAGGCCATTTCGTAGCTTGGAAAAAATACTTTGCATTTCAATGGGTCGATCTATTCAATCCGTGCATGATCCTGGCGAGAAATATCGAAGACGTAAATTTCCTTCTTGTGGAACACTAATAATTTTCATTTTTCCATCCTCCTGACGCAAAACTTAAAATCTAATCCACCACAGCTAAAATAAGTCATACTATTATTTAAACACTAATACAAAAACTTCGTTCAAATCCCAGACATAAAATCTTTCTATCTAAAACATCTACGAAATAATAATCTGAAATCCTTTCAATCCATAAATACCACCATCTATATGATCGAAACGTTAAGTAATTCGACACCTGCAACACAAGATTTTTAAGGAGATAAACCTTGCGAAAAAATCCACGAAATAATATTAATTCCAACGATCTTTTAAATACATAAATACCATCTACATTACCGAACGAATAAGTAAATTCGATATCTGTAAACAACCACGAAATAATATTAATTCCAACGATTCTTTAAATACCTAAATACCATCCCCATTACCGAAGCCATAAGTAAATCCGATATCTGCAACATTAAATTGTCATTATGAAGAACGCAACCGGAACGGATGAGTCGAGCGACGCGGAAACGCGATACCTGCAGGCGATTCCCGTTGCACAGTGCCGTAATCTGTCGAGACGAGGGGCATCGAAAGGAGTGACTCCTGTCCCCGACACATGCGAGCTTTCGCATGTACGCCCGCGACGACGATGACGGCCGACCCCTCGAGCGGCCAATGGGGGTCAGGGTGTAGCCCCCGATCAGGCTCAGATGGGGTTGGCGAGATTAATCCGCGATTTACATCCGGGCGCATCTGCTCCCTCCATTCAGCCGCGGACAGTCCCTGACCCGAATAAAAAAAATAGAAAACTGGCACGAGGCCTCCGAACGAAAATAATTTCCACCAACAGAAACCGAAGTTCTGCCTCGACAAGCAAGACTCTCTCCAGCTGAATTGTTATCAAAGTTTCGCGACGTGATTAGTAATCTGAATGGAAAATCTCTGGATGATAAAAGATTTTTCGATAAAGAACTTTTGTCTCTGACAGAAGCATAGAATGTAATGCTCTTTGACGCATTGTTTTTTTTTTAGTAATCCTGAATACTTTTAGGGGGGGAATTGGTCATACAAAGAGACTCGTGAGATCGTGATGCTTCGCTGTTTGCGATATAATGGATTAAAATCTTATGTGAAGATTAGTTTCTGGGAAATACGAATTTTTGGATTTGGTGGTAGAGATACGATGAACTTCATGGAATTCGCAGCCTGATAACCGAGACCTATTGAACACAATAGGAAGGTAGCTGGATAATACTGGTTAATGGTTCAACATCTCCAAAGTAGTAACTGAATGGTGCCTGGCAGTGGAAAGTTAAAAATCTCTGACATGTAAAATAGTTCTATAACTTTTATAGGCAAAAAATGTGGTTCTCAGTATAGAATATTAATACTAGATATATTGAATTGCCAACATTATTCTACAGACATCTTTGACTGTGTCAAAGTGAAACCATATTATTCAGAGGTTAACCTAATTCTAGAGCACGTGTTATGGAGATGCCAAATAATGAAAACATTATTATAATAATAATTCACTATCATCTAACTCTTTAGTATGAGTATTTTGCACCTTACATCACACACGATGATGATCTTAAATATTGGGTCGAAATGATCCTATACATCCAGTTTGCCAGGTGTTACGATTTTCAAAATCCATTTTCATCCCTCCTATTTCCTCCCTCTGGTGTTCTCCAGCCATCAAGAGCATACACACGCGTCGATTGTCGTTTCCTACTGGCAGGGACTGTACCGCGGGATAGAACTTCCTTCCTGAAGGTCTTGATTAAAATGGCAAACGAAAAGTCCGAAGGACGAGCAACAGCTGGATCAGTTCCCTGGAGCGCATTTGCAGAACAGAACTCTCCTCTTTCTCTATCGACGCCCGCCGCCGCATCGTACCGTGCCTTCCGCGGGCCTGAAATAAAAGACCGTGCCTCGACAATGCCGGATTAAACTCGTACAAAGGGAACTGCTTCCCTCATTCTCTCGTTGTCTGTCTTCTCTCCTGTCTGCCTCCACCGCCACCATCCCCTGGCTCCCTCAGACAACGAACAGAGAGAGAGAAGGACAGGGAGAAAGAATCGTGATGCCGTCGTCGCGACAAAGTCAGAAATGATTACGCATAAAAGGTCCCACCCCCATCCGGAACGAGCAAGGTCTGCAGTCGGAAGTGAACGTGTGTCCTCTTCTGGTATTGTACGACGAATATTCGGACGGTTCTTGCTTTGACGGTGCATCCTCTCTCTCTGGCTGAGCCTCCATAAAACGTGAACTCTTCTGCGCACCCTACCTTCCACCAGGCAGCGTTAGTTCAGTTGGAAAGGGGTTTAATGACAGCGTATTGGATTGACATTGACACCAGACGGTGCTTACTGTGAAGAAGGTTGCTCTGGTTCCTATCGATCTTTCGAAATTATGAGCTGATGGTACTGGAGGGTAGGGATTGTAGTAAATTCCTCTGATTTTAAGTCGTCACCTTGTTGAGAGCTCAGTCGAATATTAATTCGATTAATGTTGGTTAGTGTAGCGCAGAACCAATTGAAATTGAGGGTGGAAATCGGTGAAATAGTTTAAATTTACATTTCAATTATTGTTCTTGATGTAGGTAGTTCGTAATCGTTGAAGAGGTTTGAATTTTCCTTTCAATTATTTTTCTTGACGCGTAATCAATGTTGCTGAAGCAACTTTTTATTCTTCATCAACGAACACGTCTACTCTTTTCCTGGCCGGGGTGAGGATAATTAGCAACCCCCGTAATATATATTGCGCGGCTTTTGGGGTTGGCACCTACGGCGAATTTAAGAGTGAAGCGGAGGGTTGCACTGCACGCGCCAGACCCAGCTGCGAATCGCATTAATCACTTCGGAGCTTTCTGTGCCGACATTATGCATACTCTTAACGCCAGGTTCTTCAGCTAATAGGAAATCAGTAACCACCCCACTTTCAATTTCCTGAAACTGCGTCGATGCCTTCGATTCAATTAAACTCTCGTGTAGAATTAATCAAATAATTAATCACTATTCTTTTGGAAATTTTTTAATATGAACTATCTTGAATTATTCTCAGATATTGTTTCTTACAACGTCGAAGTGCAATTGAAATTTTCCTACACTTTATTCTTCAATGATTTATTTGGTGACCCAATGAACCACTGTGGGATAATGGGGACTATCTCGAATGGTTGGGAACTTGTTTAACAGCATAAGCTCTCGAGAGCGGTACGAAGCGCGGGAAACTTGTACGCTGAAGAGGATGCAGAGAAGTGACTAATGGCAAACGCCTGTCGCCGACACGAATCTCTTTTCCCGGCTGGCACCGAGTACCCTGGCATCATCCGCAGTCAACAGAGTGGAGGGACAGTGTCGCGATATATGTGTCACTTGCCAAGTGTCGATAACGTTTGTCATAAAGCAGACAGCTGGTTGTCTGGTCTCTGGAAAACTGGCAAATGACGTGTTCACAACGATACAGTGCTAGTGTGTGTCCTTGTCACTCGTGCTTCATCACGAACAGAATTACACTCCAGAATCGACGTTTGTATGGAATCAGAAGCTCGAGATTGGAGGAAGACGAATTTAAAAATTGATCAATTGTAATTATTTCCAAGAACGATATACCGTTAAAATCTCCCTAGTAGAAAATAATTAAAAGAATTATCGATAATTTCTGGAACACATACACTGTGATTCAAAGGTTTGAAACTGTTCTTGATCCTGGAGCAAATATAATTTCTTTCAGGTATATACAAATAATTTCTCTAAAACATCCTTATTCTGATACGATGATACTTTTTACATTTGGAAGTGTTATCTAAACAGTGGAGGTGTGCTACACTTCGGAGCAACAGAATATAGAGAACATAAACTCATTTAGAGATACTTAAGAAGAAAGAATTATTCTCTCAATGCATGCAAAGGTGAAAGGGAATCCCTTAATTACATGCAACACTTGTTGAATGCTCCAAGTGCATCGCAAATTGGTGTCAAGTACTACATAGTTTCTCGCGCTCGGCGACGGCGCGAGGATTAAGAAGGGTTAAGAGTTTTCCACCGCAAGGGTGTGTGTCTCCCGGGATCAGAGGGTTAAATCCAATCCCGTGGCTATATTAATAGCTCTTCTCTCGGATTGATGGACCTCCGCATGGCACGAAGGGAAGATAACTCATATTTTATCCCCCCTATTGGTCCCCGTGGGAGTGGATAAACGTTTGACGACCAGCTGGACTCCACCGGCTTTTTCAGCCACCTTGACGTGCTGCCTTTCGACAGGTTGCTGATAAGATCGATGAATGAGAAACCTTCTTCGAAAAAGGTGTTTAAAAAACAACGACACAGAATAGAGAAATCGATCTAAATGAAAAATATTCGTCTAAATCCACGATTTAACCTGACAAGTTATTTTGTAATTATTTAATCACTTTAATGATAATCCTACCCTTACTTGGGGGAAATAATGCAAATATCCTGTGTGTAATGAGGACAATAATAATAACACTTTTGGTATGCAAATGTTCACAGGGCTGACTCGGTGACTTGGAACCCCCACAAACTCATGGGAGCCCTGCTTCAGTGCTCGACGATCCACTTTAAGGAGGACGTGAGTTTATAATTCAATTTATGTTTTTTAAGTCCCACATTTTTCTTCACATTGTACGTCGAAAGTACATACTGTCTGCTGCATTGTCAAATGGTGAACATTTATCTTGTCGTATTCGTTGCGTTTTTTTCCGTCCACGTCCGTCGTGCATTCGCGAGACATGCAGAATCGACAAACGCAAGATCCCGTAGTGAAATTCCGGTCTTCCCGGTAAGGGTGATGACACAACACAGTGGCTGCATTCCGAGGGGATAGACGTACACGTCGGAACGCGGCACTGCAGGAATTTAATTAAACTAAGAGATAACATATGTTGCCGACCGTACGACGGCTCGCCGGAGGGTTTGTCCCTTCCTACGCCTGCGTAGATATTGCTATCGCGCAGGACGACTTCCCCCCCTTCGGATATTAAAATTCCGTGCACCGGCTGCCGCGAAACGTTTCAGGGAGGGGAGATTCCGTTCTGTCGTCGTTCTTGATATCGTTATCCTTACACCCTTAGAAAAATCATTTCTGTCCACTTGTTCCTGACACCCTTGGAAGAATCATTTCTGTCCACTTGTTCCAGCCTGACCTACTATAAACCCCATCGAGAGTGTTAAAAAAGATATTAACTATTTTGACAACTCGATTTAGAGTTTCTATGCACGTACCTTGACGTTTAATTAAATTTTGACTAAAACTTACGATGGAAACGGCACGACTGAACTGTTAAAATAGAGTTTTATGAGACACCTGAAGTTTAGAAGACTTTTAAATGTTACTCTAGTTCCAAAGAGAGTTTCTTCGAGAAACAAAGTAGAGTACAGTAAGACGACGTCTGTTTTGGGACGTTTAATTAACTTTTACGACAAGGAATAATGGTATCGAGAGAGGGCAATGGCGACCCCGGGTGGCGGAGTACCAGCCGCCATTTTGTAAATTCAATATCCCTCTGTTTCCCTCTTCCTGCGCATGAGTTGGTTACCATATCGACCCAGCAGTCGTTCGTTTGTTCCTGTTTGCGACTGTCAAAGAGAAACTTTCCCGGAACATCCCTCGAAACGCGTATTGTCGAAGAGAAATTGAAAAACCGTGCCCGGACGATGCGTCCCTCCCACCCTCATTCGTGATCCATCGGTCGTTTTATGTTCCAGGGCCTGCTGATTAGCTGCAACCAAATGTCCGCCGAGTATTTGTTCATGACGGACAAGCTCTACGACGTGAAATACGACACGGGTGATAAGGTGATTCAATGTGGACGTCACAATGACGTCTTCAAGCTGTGGCTGCAATGGCGCGCAAAGGTAAACGACCGGGGGATTGAATGAAACGGATCTACAATGGATGAAACTTGAGGGTCCCTTTAATATCACGGGAATTTTATTCGATAGAGTCTCGGAATAAATTAATTAAATTACTTTTCGCACAGGATAGAGGGATATAAGAAATCTTTTGGCAATTATTTCTGTAGTTTGTTATAATTTAGAATCGAATAGGGTGGACACTTTGCTTCTATTGTTATAGGGTACAGAAGGCTTCGAGAAACACATGGACAGATTGATGGAACTTACAGAATACATGGTTAGACGAATCAAGCAAATGCCCGACAAATACTACTTAATACTCGAACCGGAAATGGTGAACTGCTGTTTCTGGTACTTGCCAACGCGCGTGAGGAACATGCCACATGGTCCTGAAAGGATCAAGATTATAGCAGATGTGAGACTAATTTTACTTCGTTCTTCAATCCTCGAAAATTCCTAAATTCCTAAATCTCTAATGTCCCAAATTCTCAAATTCCTAAATTTCTAAATTTCTAAATTTTTAAATTTCTGATTCCTAAATCTCGAAAAACTATTAAGTTTCTACATTCTCAAATATCCAAATTCCTAACATAATAAATAAAGAATAAATTCCAGCTACTCCTGAAGATGCCATTTTAAGGGAACAGTGGCTTAAAACAGAAACAAACATTTTTATCCGCAGATCTGCCCTATTTTGAAGGGGCGTATGATGCAAGCCGGCACCCTGATGGTCGGATACCAGCCGGACGACCGACGACCTAACTTCTTCAGGAATATAATTTCGAGCGCCGCGGTAACGGAGGCGGACGTCGACTTCCTGTTGTCCGAAATGGACCGGTTAGGCCAAGACCTGTAAGAAATCTGCCTGTTCTAATTAGTAGCATAATCAGCCGCGATGTCGCGACGTGAAGTCAATCCTCCTGGGTATTTAGAAGTTTCATCGATGAACAGGAGAACCGCGTCGCGTTCCATTACGTGTACAAAATTCCGAAGGCCAAACTCAGATTCTCAATCACGGTTAGATAATTTAAGTCGCAAGCACTGGCTCTCTCCATTTATTCGAAAACAAATAAAAAAATATATTTTATTCATTTGAGAACATATCAAATATATTGGCTCTAGCAATAGCTATGAAAATTTTTATTGATGAATGGTCAACGCGACAAGGAACTCAATCCTCTAATAGTGTACAAATAAAAGTGACTAAATACACCTATATTTCTTATGTTTCAAAGTAATAAATTGGCTATACAATATTTCAAAGAACAATTCATTCGTGGTATATTTTGAACCATGTGATTTTGAAGCCCTTCAGGTATTAAATTCTGGTAAAAGAAAAATTAATAAAGGGAGAGAAACAGTCAGCAACTCATCGTTCGTAGTACGAAATAAACGCTTCTTCAACGTATTAAAAAGAAAGCTACTGATCGAAGGATACTCATAGTGTGTAAGTTCTTTAGATTTTTAAGCACACAGCATATCCATGAAACGAAGGAGTCGAGTTTACAGAACTCTAGCTACGCTTCCGGCCGTAAATGTTACTAGTTTTCATTCCTCAGCGCTGTACTGTTATCGCTAGAAACGAAGGGAGAAACGTAGAAATGACGGGTGGTATCGATGTCGTAAACTGAAGCAATAGTAAAATAGTCGTGCTTCGATAAGATCGATTCAGTTTCGTTTCCTTCAGTCAAGACTTAACGACCGAAACGCGTTACGTGTCGATTACGAACGGACGAGATGTGGCTCCGTTTCGTCTGAAACATTGAAAGTGCACGAACATTCGATAAAAGGAACAAACGATAATTGAAATCGATCCTCAGTACCAGAGATGAACAAAATTTTATTCGATTGCAAAATTTTTATATTAGCTAGCTAATGAAATATTCTCATTTTCTGTAATTATTATTAATATAGAAATGTTTAATTTACATGAAGATTCTGATCATCTCTGGTCTGTACATTAAATCCACTTCACATTTAACAAACTGCATATTTTATGCAAAAATATATTCTGTATTCTCAAGAAGAAACTTAAGAAAGTTAATTCTATTATATTTTCAATTTAAATGAAATAGCGTTAAAAGCAACTGCTTTGTTGATATTCGTAGATTGTTAAATGTTGAGGTACTCACAGACAATAAATCAGCATGATCTATTTCAAATTCGTCCCTATTGTTCTGTGTTCGTGGCACGAGCCGCGATGAATAGCGAACGAGGTAGAGGTACAAATTATTTTTACTTGGAACGGTACGCTACGAGGATAATTACGATAGGATAATGATATTAATTAATTTGTTCCGCATAGAAGTTGAATCTGTTGATGCTGCGCGTTACTTTGTTGAAGTGATTAAATGAATTTGTTACTTATCGATTGTTTTGGCGATGGCATCATGGGAATGGCCCGCACTCATCACTATACAAAAAAAGTTGTACGTGTTATTATTTACTGTTGAAGTATTTCACCGAACGAGGAGTATAATATATATATATATATATTTAGCGTTGAAATTTTAAAGATACAAAACACAAACCCATGAAAGTACATGCTTTTTCAAGTATTCGCGCGAACGGTTGTCATTTAGTTCGTCGATTACCTTTATACTCACTCTACACCGATCTTGAATTCGATCTTGTTCACTTTTTAGAAATTAGTTTCGTAGTTAGACACACACACGTTTTTCGTATTGTACGATAATTCTAGGACAACATTCGTCACCGCGTAGGCCACCGTTACTCGCGCGCCGATCGGTTTGTTTCATCGAAACAGAATGAAAGATACTATTTTTTTTCTAGAGAACACGTTACGATATTTTTGCCCGTGAAGAAAACGACGACGAAATTTAAATCTGTTCGACAAAAGGGATGAACACGTAAAGAGAACCGAACGACTCTATAGATTTCGATTCACTAGCCAATTGCGTAACAGAACAAGCGGAAGACGAGTCTAAAAAGCAGTATGTAAATTACAAAAAATATATAGGTGTAAATCGTAAGGAGGGTGAACGGCGTAAATGTATTTATTGTATTGAAATCTACGAATTCATCGTTTCCTGCTCCATTTGCCAATTCAAACGCTAATAGGGCGTAAAACGAGGAAACGAAACGCGTAAGCAGAATGGAAATCGGTGGCCAAGGAATAGTGTTTGACAGGAAATCGTTCCGATTCGTAGATGGTAATTGAATGTTAATGATATTGATCGGTGGGTGACGACAAGCGAACGAGTCGAGCTCGTGCTGAAAAAGATTCCTTAGACAATAGAGAGAGAGAGAGAGATGGGGGGTGAAAAATATTTTTGAATGAATGGAAAGCCAAGAAAAATTCATCTGACCACGATACCGATACCTGCAAGAGACACTCTATCGAACCGTTGTTGTTAATTGTCCACAGTTTTATCGGCGTTGCAAATTTCACTGTCTACAGTCGTTGGTGCCGCCACAAAATGGCTGACGATTTTCGACGTAACCCTAGCAATGTCAAAGAATGAATAGAAAGAGTAATATATTTGTACGGTGAAAGGAATACATACACGACGAGCCTGTCTGTGTAGAGATCTTGAGCCCTTATTTATTTAGGGATCTAAATGTCGTTCGTGAATATGTACGTGATAAGTGTACGGCCGCCATGACAGTGGCCGTCACTTAACACGGTTTTGTATATTGTTCTTGTGCCCATTTCTTCTGAAACCGAGCATTTGTAAATAAAGCTTGCGACAGACTCGCAAGCCACGCTTCGTCTGTATTTGTTATCGCTGGACTGCGAATTTTATGCATTAATTGAAAATCTGAATGTGCGAAACACAATACGGTATTAACTTTGAAAAAAATTTAATGTTTGTTTTCCGTATTTTGTGAATTAATATACAACAATGTAATTTGCATAAATATTTGTAGTCCAGTTATCGTAATTGTAAGAATTGAATATGAAGATCACATCGATCTATAAATCGATACATATTCAATTCTTGTAACATTGTTATTGTACACGGTATGGTATTCTGTATGATTGTTATTCACTGTATAATTTAATACGTTGTTATACCGTTTCTTTACCTAACTCTTTGCACCTTTGTTATTAGCGTGAATTGCACCTTGCACCTTTCGAAATGTTTTATCGTTTACCTGTTGCACCTTCCGTTACCTGTGAATGCACACGTGGCACACCGTTCTGTGACAAATGATTTTGATTGCGTTTTCGGTTCGAACACCGACGAAATTGGCACAAGCATAATGCACACGTTGGTCAATTCCTTTCCTTGTGATTTATCAAACTGACCCAGGGTGAAAGACCCTGACCTCATTATCGTTAATTATTAGTCTAAGTTGGTAACGGAGCGAGGAGAAGAACAACAAAGTCCCAAGTCTTCCAAAGAGTTATTAACAATATAGAGAGCCTCGCAACCGTCGAGGTTAATTATCCTTATACATTGTACGTAATTAACAAGAACGAAAAAAAGAAGAATACATTTATATATATACATAGGTGAGAGAGTTAATGATATATATATATATAAATATATAAATATGTATATGTACATATGTGTACGTGTGCGTGACACTCTCCCGGCGACGAAGATCGAAAAACGAAATGGACTATGTGAAGGAATACGATGTAGCGATGTTTGCTGGCACGTCGTGACCTTGTTGCACGACGAGTACCGCCTATCAACCTAATTGACCTATTATCCACTGTATATCAATGTCTAATAAACTGCTGTTATCCCAAATTGTCAATATATGTTACGTGAAATTTAATAGGGAACTTTAATCACCCAGAAGTGGCCCCTTTAGTCTCGACTAAGTCCTTTTAGACATAGTAAATAATTCAGATTAAAATTATAATATTAATGCTCAACTGCAAGTAACTCGATAAAATTAAAGATAATAAATCTTGATTCCTATACTTTTCATTTTGCCTGCAAATACACATCATTGATTCATTTCTGGTACCGAATGATTCTGAACCTTGATACTCTTAAAAAACATTGTGCAATCACGTGTCAACTGAATAAATTATTTAACGCTTGGCGTAGTCGTTGAAGTGAATGAAAAAACGTGGGAAAAATTCAGAACAAGTTAGACGGGGGGCTCGTTCGTAAACAGGTGAATATATTATCGTACAGATATCCAGTTGGCCTTGACAAGCCTCCAGACAAACAGATTTTAGACTGCACCTCGTCTCAGTCTTTCGAAACAGCTGCAATCATGAAGTCGTTCGTGGAGTATTCGCCGGATTGCGATTTTCCGATTGAAAATCTTCCCTATGGTGTTTTTTCAACATCGAATAACGTGAGTAAACACTAGTTGGGTGTTATGGCAATAAACAGTAGCATAATCATCATCTAGATAAATCTGTGTATGATCCATAAACATCATCAGAGGGATTATTTAATGTAATTCTACCATTGAAACTATTATATAATCCATAAAAATAGCTGATTGATGAGATTAAGGAACGCACGTTTAATATTGTCACACAAATCGCCATCTATTAGCAGTGAGCCAGAAGAAAGGCTACTGGCGCGAAGTTATGAACCTCGAAACACTTGTCGATTGAATTTGTCTAGATATCAAGTGAAATTCTACAATTTGTACTGCAAAAATTAAAAATCTTACACTGTGTCACTATACCTATCAAGCTAATTCGATTTTGTATTTCTGCAAAGTTTAAACCTCTTAGATTTCCAAGTTGTGAACTGTAGTATCAACTGCTGGTAACATAGCAAATTCTGTTCCAGTCGAAGAAGAGAATAGGAGTAGCAATTGGCAATCAGATATTGGACTTATCCATTATTGCACATCTTTTTGACGGTCCATTACTGAAAAATAATCAAGATGTGTTCCGTCGTGATTGTCTTAACGATATCATGGCGTTGGGAAGGCCCGCCTGGATAGAAGCCAGAACCAGGCTTCAGGATTTATTGTCAGCCAACAATGAAACTTTGCAGGAACCCAACATACGTTCAAAGTAAAGAATTCAAGAAAAATTGATCAAAGAATAAATAAACCTGTTTATAAATAATTGTCCTATTTGTCTTCGTAGAGCTTTCGTACTGCAAAACAACGCGACGATGCATCTACCAGCGAAAATTGGCGACTACACTGACTTCTATTCCTCGATTCATCACGCTACCAATGTAGGCCTCATGTTCCGTGGGAAGGAGACCGCCTTAATGCCAAATTGGTAATTAAATCGATGAAAAGATACGCTTGTTCAGGACTTAATCAAGTTCATAACACTTTAGGAAGTATCTACCTGTTGGTTACCATGGAAGAGCAAGCTCTGTCGTCGTCTCTGGAACACCAATTAAGCGTCCACATGGTCAGACACTTCCGGTGGAAGATGCAGAACCAGTTTTTGGACCGTCCAGACTAATGGACTTTGAATTGGAAGTAGCTTTCTTTGTTGGGGGACCAGCCACCCAATTGGGCGACTCTATCCCAGCAAACATGGCTTACGATCATATCTTTGGGATGGTTACAATGAACGACTGGAGTGGTACTGAATCAAATGATCAACATTAACGTGAAAACAATAATTGATGGAATAATTATTCACAGCAAGGGATATACAAAAATGGGAATACATTCCATTGGGCCCGTTTGGATCGAAAAACTGCGGAACCACGATATCGCCATGGGTCGTCACTATGGAAGCCTTGGAACCATTCAAAGTACCCAATGTCCCCCAAAATCCAACGCCCTTCCCATATTTACAACACCGTGAATCTTGTAATTTTAACATGAACTTGGAGGTTGATATTAAAAGTAAGGTTTATCAAGCTTCTTTTTATCAAAAATGTTTATTAAATTGCTGAAGAATTATTTTCTTTTCCATGACAGCTCAAAATGGTACCGTTACCACAATCTGTCGCAGCAACTACAAATACCAGTACTGGACGCCCCAGCAGCAATTAGCTCACCACACCGTAACCGGATGCAATATCAATCCAGGCGACTTAATGGCTTCCGGTACGATAAGTGGCGAGGTGCGTCCGAAACTATAATTTGTTTACAGCTCAACGTTTAATTCGTCCTATAACATCGTATTAATTCCGTTTATTTTCGCGCATTCTTAGAGCCCCGATTCTTTTGGTTCCCTGCTCGAGCTATGTTGGAAAGGTACTCGACCCATACCGTTAAAAGATGGGACAAAGAGGACATTCCTGCAAGATGGCGACGAGGTGATAATCCGAGGTACGTTCGCCGGTTTCGTTCGTGCTTCTGTTCATACGTTACGGATTTTATTGATAGTTCTTTAAGCCGCTGTCGTTTTCTAGGTTACTGTGCCGGCGATGGCTATAGAATTGGATTCGGACCGTGTTCCGGGAAATTGCTGCCAGCCGTTACTCTATAGTTCTCTTCCTTTATATTTTATATACATTCTCGAATGAAATTTATATTCTATACACGTTCCTTGTACTTGCTGCTTTTGTATTTGATGAATAACACATTCAATAAAACGGAGAAATAAACTTGAAAATGAAAGAAAAGTATTTTGTTATTTAAAATCTGCGTCACGGAGAAATGTATCGTGACGTAAGATAGCTAGATTATCGATTCGAATAATTTCCGTGGTGAATTCGATCAATAAGGAGGCCAGTCCAGGTGCAGGTGGAACGAGTTACGGCGGGAACATGGCTGCTATTCTGTTGAAGTGAGTAAAACGAAGTAATTTCATTCGACTGGTACACTTTATACACGTAAAGAAGATTGAAATAAATTGAACAATTTATTGTTCGTTATTTCTTGCTCTAGGAAACTTATGTCTGTCAGTTGAGATACTATAACATATGTTAAATCAATTAAAAGACAGATCAATAATACGACTAACTTATTAATCCACTGTCCTATATTTCGGAGCAGTTTCGCTCAATAAATAGAAGCATTTAATCTACTTGATTATTCGTCAAAGCTATATGCACTAATAAATTATTCACTATGTTTATAGTTGTAATTATTCACTATATATTCCTACGTTCAATATTTATTTCTAAAAATCTCGAAAAACTTACATTGTTATAACAATTTACTCGATTCTTCCACAATACTATTTTTAACAAATAAAAACAATTTTCAACAAAAAACAGTGTGAGTAGATTTCTGTGTGAGCAATTTTTTAATTATATTATTACATTACTAAAAAGATTTTATATCACTCACTGGTGTGTGGAATAATTTAAAAAGAAAATCGGTGATCAGGAGTTTGCACAGTTTGGAGTCAACGGACGAGCCAACAGTGAAGTGGAACGTTCCCCTAAGCGACGGGAATCATGTGATAGAATTCGAGCACGGGACAGCGACAGGTCGTCGAGTGGTAAAAGTGGACGGTAAGGAATTGATTCACAGGGACTGGATGTTTCAACTCGTTGGGGATGAGACCTTCATGTTCAATGAGAACAAGTTCGTAATCAGAGTCGACCCAATTCCAGGTAAGTTTGTCCGACACTAACAAAAATGTTATCATTAGACAGAGAATACAAAATACACTATCTGATAGGTTTAAGATATTCTTACACCTTGATGGTGAATGGAAAAAACTACAAAAATTTCGTTCAATCACAATCGAAGATTTTGCAAACCTGGCTAGCTAACGTTGGGAATCAAGAATACAGGATAGTGTTAGGTAATCATTGCACTGCTAATTTTACGCATTTACAACGATGTGAATATTGAAAATGTAATAAATGGAAAACTTCTGAAAAACTTTGAATTAATCTACGTATAAATTATGTCTCCGTATAAATATCTACGGTCTACAAATTGTAAACTAAAACATAAATGAATCGATGTTAACGATAATACGTTCTTTGATAGACAAACAGGCACAAAATGTTTGGGTAAATGGCGAACAGGTCGAAACAGAGGTAAGAAATATGCCTTTTTCTGTGATTACTATGAATTCTAATACAACACCGCGATTTTGTAGAACGATTTCACCGACGATGGCGCAGAAATACTTTTCACGGTCGGAGAACTCCCAGCTTCTATTAGATCCCAGAGCTCAGGTCAAAAAGAAATTGGAATAATGTACACTTTGTACATCGACGACATAGAAATTGGAAAGGAATCACTGTCGAATGATTCCGACGAGTCATAGATGAACCGTGTGACCACCTTTCCACAGTGTTACTGCATCACGTGCCACAAATGTTTGTTAGACTTTGTATGTAATACAATAAATCACGATAACAGTGAATAGGTTCACCTACTGATTGATCAACCGTCTGAATGTAGCGAACTATCGTTGACGAAGACAACTTCAATTCACTTTCCACTTTTGTATTGCCACTGGATTACGGATTTATGCATTTTTATTGTATAAGAAAGTGTAAATTACCATAAAATAAAATCAAAGCTGAAATTTAAGTTTCAAAGTTCTATATAATTTTTACTGAATATTTCATATAATACGATTCTGAATAGAAGAGGTACATACAAGTCTTTTCATTCCTTCTTTTAAAACGAATCCATAAAAATATGGATTTATATAAATATCCACAGTATAGGTTAATACTTCTACCACTTTCTCGTGTTCTGTTCAGTGAATAAATCATCACGATGTCGATCCGGGAAAGTATATTCAGCATGGGGACACGAATCAGCGTAAGACACGTTGACGAGATCGACCTGGATGGTTTATAATAGTTTATATCATTAACAGTGTCCCCGGATTTTCAAAATGACCGAAAATATTATCGATTTTAGACATGTCGTTCGATGAACTGCAACACATGCAGGACGATCTTCTGCAGAAAATATGGATGCTGACGTTAGAGAATGACGTTTATGAGCGATACCTCACGCGACAGGATCCTGAAATTCCGAAGAGTAACTTGATAGTCTGTACATTAGTAGAATTAATTATAGTACATTGACTTCAAGAAGTGTCCCCTCCGATTTTGATGAAACTTCGTATGTCTGGTAAGCAGTCAAAAATAAGGGACACGTATTCTTTTTTATCGGCTGAGAGGCGACTTTAAGGGGTGAAACCACCCCTCGAAGTTTCATCAAAATCGGAGGGGGATACTTCCGTGCCTTTCTTTGTAAGTTAGTTAATGCAATCACTACTGTCATACACAGATTGCCTATCATATACATATTGTCCAGGCTAGGCGATGGTCTAAATTCTTCTTTTCTTAATAATTCTTCCTTGCCAAATTTGCACCAGAGATAATGCAAATCCTGGATAGAACGAAATACGCACGGAAACTCTCTCGCGTGATGACAAAGAGAACGGCTTCCCGTATGAGTTTCCGAGACAGCATCGCGTTTCTACCGGACCCAGCAAGACGCAAAACGTTGAGCAGTCGCGCGAGCGTGTACAGCGTATTGAGCCTCGTATCCGGAAGTAGGATGGGGACATCAAGCGTGTCCACTGTGGGAAAATGCACTGAACATTCGAAGTTAGATAAATTATTGAGAACTTAACGAATGGTCACTATTGATCAGTTCCTCCGTCAATTAGCAGTCGGAATCATTTCATTTCTATTTCATCTTCTAAAACTCTCAGAATTACTATAACGCACCGTATAACCATGGCGTACAAAGAGGTTGAAGAAATGACGAAGAAGCTGAGCGAGGAAAAGAGCTTGGCAAAGAAGAGAAAAGCCCAAATAAGGGCGGAGATAGAGGAAGTGGAAATTCGTATCACCGAGGTGCACGAGGCGAAGGTGGAGTTCGAGGAGAATGTTGTGGTCAAAGGTGTCGACAGGATCACTGGAAAAATCCCGGCTGAAAAGGTTACCAGGTGATTGCACGAACTTTAGGGTGTATTGCGAGGGTAATTAGTATATATACAAGGTGTAATAAAAATGTTGGGAGACCTGTTTCTCGTTAACAAAGCCTCAGATAATATTTTTACTAAGGAAAAACTTGTTTCAAATCACCTCGCGAGTCTCCCATTTCCGGGTCTTCCAACATTTGTGTTACACCACGTATACACAATTTACACGTGTCAGTTCTCGCGAAGATTCATCGAGGAATGGCTGAGATCGGCGAACACGATAATAGGGAGGCTGCGGTTGAGAAGCTCGACGTTAAAGATGCTGATCAAAAAGACTAGACAGCAGCTGGCCCAGAGAGAGGAGCTCGGAGAGGCGCTACGCGCCGTCGACTTCGAACAATTGAATATTCAGAACAAGGATTACATAAGGATGATCGAGGAGAAGACGATCTACGTGCTGGACATGAAGAGGATCGCAGGTGGCCGGGCTGTTAATCGAATAACAAGTCCTGATACGAAAGATTTTTATTACATTGCATACTGTTTTGCAGGCCATTATCATTTGAAACTGACGCAGCACAAGCAGAAACTGAGCGACCTGTTGTGTACTTTGAACGGTCTGAAGAATGACATTTCGCTGAAACAAGAGCAGATTAACGAACTGGAGGACGAGCACAAACAGGTAGAGACGGAAGTGGCACACCTGAATAAAGAGCTGGAGGAGCTGTTACACTACATGGACAACTATACTGTAAGCCATCAATGATTCCATCTATCCTGGCGCAACGGTGCTTGAAAGCTTGGCACATTCGAAGAGAAACAAGCCTGGCCTTTCTAAGTACATGTCGAACTGTCGAATTACACTGTATATTATCCCGTAATCGTGGTTTCCAGGTGCCGGATATTTTAGATTTTGTGAAATTAGAAATACAGGTGCAGGAATTACAGAAGAAATACAAACTCTTAGACAGACGCAAGAACATTCAAAAAATCATATTTCGGACGTCCCGGAAGCAGGGTCATAACCAAAAATCGGTCCAAGATATCATAATGTAAGCTATATAAATTTTTCTCAAGTTACAAAGATGATTATGTTACTTTATTTCAGGCATAAAAAAATATCCGGCACGATATATCCGATCGCACCGTTCACCGTAAATTCCTTAACTTCTCATACTCATACGAATTGACTCGTTTGGTCCTGGAAATCGTTTCCAGTCTTGGTACGAGTAGCGCAATTATATCTGTAAAAAAATTACGCGGCTCGGTACCGTCACTGGTTACGCCACCGGATAATTGGAGTTACGGTGCTTGTGTTGGACACGAGGAAAACAATCGTCCACTTTCCATGATACTCGTACTTTCCATGTGCAATAAATAATGTAAAAACCAGAGCTGGAATAAATGTATATTAAAGCAAATCCATAATTTGTAAAAATTAATGATCAACAAATCTCAGTTCCTTTAATTCTCTTTTTCCTGTTAATAATGCACCTTGCAGTTATATGTACAGAATAAAATCCCTTCTTGTAGAATAAGATTTTGTACTACTTCAAGCTTCGTGCACTGTTCAGGCCAGTTTGATCCAAAACCAATGTTTGATTCTTAATTATACTTTCTATTGTAGAAATTTGTAAATTAACTTGACACCAATAGCTTACATATATTATGATCTGGCGATAGGCAAATGGGTTTCCTGAATTCGATTTTAATTCAGACCCAAACAAAGAAAAGTACATAATGCAATAGTACAATGAACAGTGCACGATGGTTAAAGAGTCAATTACATTCATACATTTCTCTAAATAACTGAAACATCTACATAAATATATAAATATACGTATACTATACTTTTCATAAGAAGGAAGTGCAATTGCATTCTACAATGGATTTCATGGAGAACAAATTACTAAACTACGTAAAAGAAGCACGTTTAAAAGTGTGAATGCACAATACTATTTAACACTTTCATTTAATAGTAAAGAAAATAAAATTCAATCTTACAAGGATCGACCTCGTTAAGCCAGGCAATCTATTTCGCCAATTTGCCGGCCCCGATAACCCATTACTCGACCCAGTGTGACTCAGCCCGTACATAATTTTTGATTTCATAAAAGAGCTAATTTTCTTTGATGAACTATATTCACGGTGGCAGTAATGAATACGTTAAGAAATGCGAACGAAGTCGAAGATGGAAGGATTTTGGCGTGTGCCATGGTGCGCTGGCTGGTCACGCTTCATGCACCGGCGATGCCTGTCCCTTCCTCTTTTCGTCCGTGGAATATCCGTCCCGGAAGACCTGTCTCTCTTTTCTGCGGCGATTCAGTTTTGCCGCGACGACAACATCGACGCACCAAACATTCGATCAGCTACCGAATCAACAGTGTCGACAAAAATTCGATCGAAACACTCCCTTCGATCAAGTGTTACTCCACTTTTGATCGGAGCTTATTAAACCAGTGATCTTAGTATGTGGAACTATAGGGTCAGAACTAAAAATCAGCACAATTTAAAAGTTTCAAACAATTGGTGAACGCATAATAAGGTGTATTGAAATTATTCTTTATGGGACAGACTATTAAAATGGCAAACATAATATGCTCAGTGGTGCATAAAGGAACAATTGGTCAATATCCTGTGTGAACATCCTGGAGTCTGTTTTCCAATGAGAAATAAAATTGATTTCGAGAAAGTTTGACGGCTTTCTCAATCCGTTTCACCGATTTCTGAGTTCTACTTACGAAGAGTTCAACATGACGATTACCGGAAAATTAGTCCTGACGATAATGATTTGTTCGTTCGTGGGGGAAAGCTTTCACAAATACTTAGAGGTAAGGAATTGAAATGCATTGAGCGATATTTACGCTTTATTGTTTGTTCGATGCGTATTAACGGTACTCGAGAGATGGTACGCTTCGATGGGAGCCTACGTACACGACACGGTTGAGGGAACGTTTAGTCTCTGGAAGATATTAGGTCGAAGGCAGATTTGAAATTCTAATTAGACCGTGAATCGTGGGTGCATGGTATCTGGGCCAGTAGGAACAAACCTTGAAAATATTTTATAGTACGAAACTGTACAGCGATTTTTGCAATAAAAATATTCTATATAGGATGAAAATTGTATAGACGTACAAATTTTTAAGGGCATGAATGTGAACCTGGGAGATGCTCTACAATTTCTCAGAGAATTCGACAGCGAAGCGTCCGCAATGTGCACGAGGGTAATGACAGCTCAGTGGAACTTTGCTACCAACGTCACTGAAATTAATCGTCGAAGAATGGTGATAATAGATACTAAACTTTCGTGGAAAAAATCTATCATTTCGAAGGAATGTTACTTTACATGATTTTCAGTTAGACGAACAGGCGTTGAAGTTAAAATTCGACAGAATCTCTTGGCGTAAGGCTGTTAGCTTCGCTTGGAGCCGAATACCAGATCCTTTGGCAAGAAGAGAACTCCATATTATCGCAGTGAAAGGTCGGAATTCTCTAACCGATGACAAATTTAACGAGGTAATTTCATATGATGGTAAATTACATAAAATACGATGATAGTAAAAGTATAAATCAATTGCCAGGTGCACAGCCTAATTGTCGAAATGAAGGAAATATACGCAAGAACAAGACTCTGCCCCTACAGGCCCATAGGTGCGAATTGTGACCTAAGTTTGGATCACGGTTAGTCCCACAATTACTCACAAATAAATTTAATGAAATTGCTTATTGATACACTTAACAAGTTCTTTTACTTTTTGACTAATGATTCTCAGATGTTGGTAAAATAATGGCAAGATCAAAGGACTACGATGAGCTACTATACTATTGGCACGCTTGGCACGAAGCTACTGGACCCCAACTAAAGAACAAATACATGAGATACATTCAACTTGCCAATCAAGCAGCCAGACTAAATGGTAGATAAATAATATATTATTGTTACGTTCACTTTGTATAAATTCGTACATATCTCGTCTCTAGGATTCGCGGATGCAGGGGACCAAATGAGAGAGCTCTATGAAGACGAGTATTTCCAACAAAACATCGCAGACGTAATGTCGGCTGTAATGCATTTGTACAAAAATCTTTTTACGTATGTTAGGACAAAACTATTCGAAAGGTACGGTGATAAAATAAGAAGAGACGGACCACTTCCGGCGCACATTTTGGGAAACATGTGGGCTCAAAATTGGGAGAACATCTTCGACGTGGTTAAGCCATTTCCGGCAAGCAAGAAGCTTGATGTATCTTTGGACATGATGATACAAGGCTTCACACCTTTAAGGTAATTCCGTATACAAAGTATTCGGCTACTGGTATAAGAAACTTTAAGGAGATGTGTTAAAATGAAACAAAAATTTAGAATGACAAATTTATGCTGTTTTCAAATTAGTAACAGTTAAAAATTCGAGCCAGAAGCGTAGGACACTATAATAAAAAAATGCACTAAAAAAAATAAACAGTTACCTGGTACTTCAAAAAGTGACGCGTAACACCGGAACTAGAGCCTGGACTGTCCTCTCGCGACACTTCATAAAAAAGTAGAATGGAGATCACAGCACACACACACACGCGCGCGCAGACTATACACTAAATAAATTAATTTAAACTGAACTGAAACTCGCGATAATAAATTAAATTAATATTAAAAAGAAACACAGATATTCTTCCTCGAGAACTATTCGCGTCGATTGATGTGTCCGCGTTGACCGCTGCGATCGAACTAAGGAAACGTTACTCGAATCCCAGGTAAAGGACAAAAAGGAATAAAAATGTGTAAATATGGAGAGGGATAGTACAATAAAGGAGGTACCTGGTAACGAATACGACACCTTAAGGACAAATGAACCCGGCGTGGTTGACCGATCGAAAACAGCGGGAGGTCTGACCGATTCCAGAAATCCCTTTCTTTATTAACTAAGGGCGTATTTTTTTTCAGCCATCACCAACGTACGCTCCATAATTACTGTGCCCTATGTTTACCATTTGTACAGAGATTCCTTTAATTTCCAATGTTTCTGACCCCACTTTTTGTTTGTTCATAACTTGAAAACAAAGTCTGCAACATAATTTTTATCTTGACATGTAGAATCATCCCTTAAAATTTCTAATAATTGTAATAGTAGTAAAATTAATTTACTTAATTGTATACATTGGATGAAACGAAAATGTTTAAGGATGTTCCAAATAGCAGAGGAGTTCTTTACTTCATTGGGGATGAAACCAATGCCACCTGAATTCTGGAGGTTCTCCATGTTCGAGAAACCCATTGACAGAGAAGTAAAGTGTACTTCTAGCGCTTGGGATTTCTGTAACAGGATCGATTATAGGTGCTAACGTATTCTGATGTAAATAATCGGTAAACTGTATACAGATTTTTTCAGGATAAAACAATGTACGATGGTTACGATGGAAGATCTGTTATCAACTCACCACGAGATCGCTCGCTTGCAATATTATTTACAATACCGTGATCAGCCCCTACTATTCCGTAATGAACCAATCCCAGGTAATGAATTGCATTGATAAATGTGATTATGAAGAAGGCTGATCCACAAGTGATTGTAAAACTGATGATGGCAGTGTAGTTATACATAAACAAATACTGAATTTTCATATAATCTTAAATTTAGGTTTTTTTGAAGCAGTCAGTGATGCCATCGGTCTGTCAGTATTCACTTCTAAACATTTAAGTAGAATTGGACTGCACAACAATGCCACGGACGACTATGGCAGCAATATTAACTTCCTAATGCTAATGGCTCTTCGTAAAGTTGCCTACATGCCGTTCGCTTACATAATTGACGAGGTTTTTTATATTCTACCCACCATTTTTAATTTTATTTCAATGATGACATTGTATACGTTTGTTTGTAATACTTATAGTGGAGGTGGCGTGTATTTGGGGACGGTGTCGTTGATATGACGAACAAATGGTGGGAATTGAGGTTGCAGTATCAAGGAATTGTGCCACCGGTTCCAAGATCCGAAAGAGACTTCGATCCTGGCTCAAAATATCATATTCCTGCAGATGCTCTTTATGCTAAGTACGAATTTACTCTGTTAATAGCACTAGAATCTGTTATTTATTATTAGTTCATTCATATTTATAAGCATAAGAATGAATTTTCAGATACTTCGTCGGTGTAGTATTACAGTTTCAATTGTTCGAATCTTTGTGCGAAATTGCGGGTCACACCGGAGATCTACATACCTGTGATTTTTATAGATCCCGGGAAGCAGGCAGATTGCTCTCGTATGTACGAAAGTTACTGCATTTAATCGTTATATGAATAAAATAGATTTTGTTATATTTATTCCATTGTTCCTTCTTCCAGTGATGTGTTATCAATAGGATCCTCTAGATCATGGAAAGATGTTGTACGGCAAATGACAAGGGGCAGAACGAATAGAATGGATGCTGGTGCTATATTAAGGTATTTCGAGCCATTAAATCAATGGTTGAAACGACAGAACGAAATGGAACCAGTAGTCGGTTGGATCACAAATCGCGAAGACACAGGTGAGTTTATAAATATTACCTTCCATAGAATGATATTTTTAAATGCACCATTAATGTCTTGCAAGTAAAGACTTTTTTCCATATTTTTCAGCGCTGTTTTTTCACTGGTACCAAAATGGCGCCCGAAAGGTCACTTCGTGCTTACTTGTTTCATTGGTTCTAGTAGTTACTCAAATTTCAATGTATTAATACAAGAAAATGACAAGTGAAGTAGTAAAAGTGAAGATTAAAGTATTTTTGTATATAAAATAAGAATTGTGTAAATATATAATACGACTGTATGTTCTTTCTATCAAAAAGTATAGTGCACACCTAACTTATTCGGTTATAATATAGAATTAAGATTCACTACTAACAATTTAACGATTCTCGACAAATTATAAAGAATGATTACAGTGAATTTGTTCACATTATTTACTATTGTACAATTTATATTGGTAGAGTGATGTGAACATATATTTTAAGTGTGATGTACGTTTTGATTTTTAATTTTCACGGCCATTCCTTAAAGGAGAATAAGACTTTATAACAAGAAATGACATTAGTAATCTTTACAAATAAATAATATTTTAATATATATTGTTGTGACGTTTGAAGCCACGATGCTTGTTTCGCCGTTTCGCGTTATAACTGAAGATGCCTCCGACTTCGAGAATCGATTGTAGATCGGTCAGTCGTTTCGATTACAGTTGTTTGATTATTTACAGTTGTGAATAAACGTCGTGTTGTGTTGTGTTCTATAAATAAACTGTTATGTCGTGTGGCGGAACGCCAAGGCGTAACAATATTAAATTAATACGAAGTTTAACAAATCAACATTTAACTTGTGTAACGGTTATCTTTTGTAACGTCCGAATGAATCGTGCAATACTTCAAAGAGCGCGCTTGTCACGTAAAGTGGTCAGTCGCGCGGGAAACGTACGGATACAAGTCCGAAGGTTCTCGAGATTTCAACAATGATTAATCCTTCAGAATGATGATGCAGTTTACCAAAAGATGCAGGAAATTTTCAGGAATCGTCTAGGAAGAAATTGGTGTGCTGGAGACCAAATGGTAAGTGAGTTTTAATGTTCTCCTCTTTTCGAACCAAACTTCCTTGATGGGGTCCTGGAGAAACAAAAGATTATCAAAATATACTTCAATAATACTATGAATTTTCGAGAAAATTACAAGTATTATTCAAGGATTGATATTCTTATTGTATTCGCATTTGTATTTATTGTTGGTACTGCGATAAAATTATAAATATGTAAATATTATTGTGGAACGTTTATAGGTACACTGAAAATGTACCTTCAATGACAAATGCTCTGTGTTATAAAAAAAAGCCTGTAATTTCGGCTATGCCAGCACAACGACATGACATTGTCTTTAAAGGTTAATTTTACCAATGAATTATGGTAATCAAAGTACATGAAGTAACTCACCCAAAATGGTTTCAAGTTTTCTTTTCCCTGATCTATCTCTAATGTGCAAAGGTACTACGGGTTGTGGTCCATGGTGATTCATAATAATATTTTTAGCCGTCTCTAATGCATTATGTATAAGTTCTGACTTCGGTGCTCTTGTTAAATAAACAACACACTCCCCTAAAAGTAGATCACACTCTGGCATTCCAATCATTTGGCATCCATGCATAGTATGAACAGCTATTCCTTTAACAACAAATTTTTAATAATAATAACAAACTGTCATTTAATAAATAAGGATGTACCTAACAATATTATAAGTAGTATATACCCAATGCATCAGGATCTGCTAAACCAATATCTTCAGCTGATATTCTTACTAAACGTCTTGCTATGTCTACAGGATCTTCTTTGATTGCCATAATTCTTGCTAACCAATACAATGCTGCACTTGCATTGTCTCCTTTTATTGATTTATGTAACGCAGAATATAAATGATGAGTATTAGTTGTTTGTTTGTCTGATAGAGCTTGTTTAAGACTTTCTTTAATATTTTCAAGAGTTATTGATACAGGATGAGAAGGATTTGCCTTATTTAATACTTTTCTTTTAACTGCTAATTCCAAGCCACTCAATGCAACACGTGCATCTCCATCACATACTTCTGCTAACCATTCAATTACTGTTTTGTTAATAATGAAATCAGAGTTTAGATTTGAGTTGAACTTATTTTGTGAGTTTTCACTTTCGGGGTCATATATCTCTCCATTAATGAATGATACTGCCTTACAAAGAATTTTCATTACATTAGGTACTGTTAATTTATTCAAACTAAATACACGACATCGACTTAATAAAGCAGAATTTAAACTGTAAGATGGATTCTCAGTAGTTGTGCCAATTAAAGTCAATGTCCCTGCTTCTACATGAGGTAAAAATATGTCTTGTTGGAGTTTATTAAAACGGTGTATTTCATCCATAAATATAATAGTTTTTCGATTTAATTTGTCTCCATTTCTGGCTGCATTCACAACATCTCTAATATTATTAACACCAGATGATGTTGCAGAGAGCTTTGTAATATGCACTTTATCTCCACATATTTCTTTACTCAAGCGTGATATGATATTGGCCAAAGATGACTAAAAGAAGTTTAAGTAATAAGTATTATTAAAAAATAGCAATTGATATTTATGTTACCTTTCCACATCCTGGTGGACCCCAAAAAATTATGCTAGGAATACATCCTTTTGTTAATAACTTCTGTAGCACAGTAGTAGAACCAATGACTTGTTCTTGGCCTATGTAGTCAGCAAAGCATGCAGGTCTCAATTTTTCAGCAAGAGGAACATGCTCTTTGCTTGAAACTGCTTTTTGTTGATTCATACTTGATATATTTTTCATGGCACTTGATTTGTATTTTTTAACTGAGTTGGTTTCAACTGTTTTGTTAAAAGGTAAAGATCTCTTTAAACTTTGAGATGATTCCTTTGGAAGTGCATTAATTAAGGAGAGACACAAATCAATATGATTTCCTATGCTGGTAACAGAGAACTCTTTCCTACATATTGGACACAACATATTCAGTTTTATATATATATTTCTATAATTATATGACTCATACTAATACTAAACATAAAATAGTATGATTTTAATCTTTAACTTTTAATGTTTCTATGAAATATCCTGTTTATTATCAAAATTACAACAGTTTGTAATAGACAAACTTCTACAAGACACAGATTTGATGCTCTATTTCTATACTTGCACTTTGTTGACTATACATATGTCTTTCTGAAACCACATGTGTTAAGTGTGGTGCCATCTATTGATAAAACAGTGGTTAGAAGTCTGAAAGAAAATATCCATACATGTTTAGTTCTTATTGAATTGTTTTATTTACAAATTCTACGTTATATGACAAAATAGGTTGTGAACTATAAATTAACAAATTGTTTCTCTAAGTAAGTTCATAAAAACAATACAACATTGAAAAGTCTGGAAAATTAAAATATACTGCATTATATACAATGTATAATGAAAATATAAGCAACAAAATTAAGAATAGCTTTTTACAGAACATTGTTCATCAAGAAAACTACTTGCATATTTGATAAAAATGTCAAATATATGGAACACAAAACTTTATCGCCAAGAACAAGAAGCATTTGTTTCTAATCATGGTGGAACAACAGCCAGGGAAGTTGTGTATGCGATCATACCTAACATATGTAGTATTCTTTTAACTACAACCACATTAGGTCTTCTAAGAAATTTAATTCATAAAAATGTTAAAGTTTTGATAGAATTTCTATTACTTGTCATTCCAACTATCTTATGTTGTACTGTATTATCTGAGTACATTTTTACCGTGTGTTGTGCCATGTTATCAATATCTATTATCAATATTTTATTACTGGGACTTAATCCAAACTCATCAAATTATAATATGATGTCTAGCCAGGGTAGAAAACCATTCATTACAACTTTTAGGGCATTCACCAATATTATAACAGTGATATGTATACTAGCCATAGATTTTCGTATCTTTCCGCGAAAATTTGCCAAGACTGAGGTATTTGGATATAGTTTAATGGACAATGGTGTTGGATTATTCATCTTAGCAAATGCTTTAGTAGCGCCAGAAGCCAGAGACTTTGCTCCTAACCATAGACTAGGATTCATTCATACATTATCAAAGAATATTAAACAATCTGCAAAAGGTTGTATTCCACTTTTAATACTGGGTTTTGGTCGTTCTGTTGCTATTGAAGTCATAGGATATCAAAAGCATGTAACTGAATATGGTATCCATTGGAACTTCTTTATAACTCTTGCTTTTGTTAAACTGTTCACTAGTTGTATAACCAGTACTATAAATTCAAAGTATTCTCTACTCTCAGGCATCTGGATTTTAACAATGCACGAATATATTCTGAGCACTAACGAGTTGAAGGAATGGGTGTTGAGTAATAAACCAAGGGATAACTTTGTGTCTGCCAATCGAGAAGGGGTAGTTTCAGTCCCTGGATATATAGGACTTTATTTAATAGGGGTAGCAGTTGGCAGATTAATACATTCCACGTATCATAACTCATATATGCAACAATCTGTGCAGTACAAGTACAAAACGTTTCACATGAAGTTATTCGGATACGAACTCGATGCTAGTTACAATGAGTCTATGATACTCTGTATCAAACTGTCCTTGATAGCTGCGCAAACTTGCGCAGCCACTTTGTTCTGTGATTCGTATTTTAAAGTATCAAGGCGCTTAGCGAATGCGGGCTATTGTATGTGGATACTTACATTAGGCGTTATGGTTCTCACATTATTGTTATTATTAGAAATAATCATGGACATATTAATTCGTGCCAATACAAATTCCGACTGCGCGGATAAAAAAACCAAGTCACACAAAGCAGAGGCAAAAAATAAACGAAAACGTGTACTCGATGAATGTGAGAAAAATGTAGTGGATAACACAATTGAAATATTCGAAGCTGTGAACTATAACGGTTTATTCTTTTTCTTATTGTCAAACCTGATGACTGGTGGTGTGAATATGTTAATACCTACATTGTATGTAAATGAGTCCAGAGCTTTACAAATACTGATCGCCTACATGGCTCTAAATATAATTACAGTTTTATTCCTATATAGGAAACAGATGCAAATTAAGTTATAAAACGTAGGATTTCTTGTATATTTATATATCAGGGAATACGAATTTTGTACATCTGCGGGTCAAATATACTTACAGCATTAGAATATTCTCACTGCCAATAGACATATCGCACTGTACTGCATATTTATTTCATCTTTCTATCAAAATAAGTATGTACATATAACAGTATAAAAATAAGTAAAATACTCAATTGGTAACAAGTCGTTTGTTTCGTTCATTACACTAGCCTATCAAACAATAACATTGTTCGTGGTTAGCGATAATTCATTGTCTAAGAATTCATTATAATTCATCTTTGGATTGAACGTCAGGTTTCAATTTTACCCGTTCTTTCGAATTAGGCGATTCAATATCTTTAACATCACTTGTACTAGTTTCGTTCGTTAGATCTGACCTTTTACTTCGAGTTCTTTTACTTACGAACTTTTTAAAAACGCTATGGTTTTTTACATGATCACTAGCTTGTGCAACCACGCGGAGGAATTCTTTCACGTCAAAACTGTAATTCGTGAACTTCGCGTGAGCTCCTCCATCAGGATGCGTACCCTGTGCAGAATTATTTAACAAATTTCAATTATTACTTATAAGATTCAAATAATTACTTACGGGATCTTGCTGCACCAATTTCGAAGTATCCTCCCACGTGAAATACTTCACACCGCGTAAACGTGCCAAATCCTTGTAGCATCCTGGATCCTCGCAGTTATATCTAAATAATAATCACCCGTAAATCGTACAATAACCTTTTCGCAATGAAACAATTCGTCTCTCATAAATCAAACATACATCTCAAACACAGCCGCCCAGTCTGGTAGGAACATTAAATGCGTTAGACCAGCTCCATGAATACCAATGAAGATATCAGAGTTCCTCGTGATCTCTAGTTGCTTTTTGAATGGAACCTTTTTATTGTACACTACCTAGAATAATAATATTTACGACGTTAGCCTAGTTTCTGCAATCTTCTCGCTTATTCAGTCAGCTACCTTTCTAACTCTATATTCCGGATTCTCCTTCAACGCTTTCACCAACTCGTCTTCATTTAAAATTTTCCTATACAGCGTGTCTCTACTCAGCAGAGTCACTCTTATCCTTTGGTTCTTTCTCTCGTGAAGAGGTATACGTAGTCTGTGCAGCACGTGATCACCGAACGCTTTGAATAATCCGCTTTTCTCACAACCGTAGATCTGAAATAGTTTTCTGGTCGTTAAAAAATTCCAGCAACGAACTCCTCGATGCACGAATTATCGTACCAATGGCGTGTTGTAATAGAGGCCGAAGATCATGCGAGGCAACAACGGGAACACGAGATTCTTGAAGCAGACAGTTTCCCCGCGGAACGTTTTTAAATCCCACAGCGGGTTCCTCGTGAAAGCCACGAAGGTGTCTTGGAACGCAGAACGGTAACTGAAAGGGAGAGAGCCATTGCTATCTAATATCTTACGGTTCTATTTTTTCCTGTTGCGCCGGTGTCAGTTACCTGTAGCTTTCCCAGATCATTATGTGATTATCAGTGCTGAAGGCGGCGGGGTGCGTGAGGTTTACGTGCAATGACGCGTATAAATTGAAAAAGTCGCAAAAATGATGGTACATGTTTACTACTGAAACAGAACGACTTCAAGAAATGAACGGATGCCTAAAAAATTTTGCGGTAACCGTCGCGTAATTTGTCAGAAAATTATTTTTTCGTCACTTACTGGCATCTATCTTCATGATGTACGTCGGCTTCTCTATGACGATATCGCAGTCGCCGTTGACGATCGGCGGTCGATTTAACTTTTGGAAATATCGCAATTCGGGCCCCCAAGATTGCAGCGGACTGATGTGATCCGCATTGTCCTTTAGTCTTTTCTCGTTCAATCTAAACCGAAAGGATGCTAAGACCTAATTTACAGAGAATACAAAGATTCATCGTGTGGTGACTGCATTTTTCACTCACGTGCAGTACCCGCCAATCTGGCCCTCTTTCAAAACGTCCATTTTGTACCGTATCGGTTCCTTTCTGTGTAAGAGATCCGTGAAATTTATCATTACGTTCCTCGCCCTACAGAATCTCATGTGTTCCGAGCACTCCAGGGACGAGTCCTCCTTTAACGAAAAGCTTCATTGTAAACGGGAATGAGAAATCTTTCGTAATATTTTCTAGCTCAGTAGCTAAATAAAAATTACCAGAAACAATGGTTCGCAAAAGATCGACATCTCGTTCCTCTGGTCGCGCACGTAGCCGAAATCGCCTTGAGCGTAAAACGTGTCCAGCTGAGCCTTCTTCGTGGTCACCCATCCTTTGTGATCACCTGGACATTGAGCAACGGAAAACGAATTTTCGGCTTTGCAATTCGACTCGTAACCCCAACAAGCTTCGGTGTCGAGGCTACCCTAAGTTGTTCCAAGAAAAATCCCTTGTCAGTGTCGATATCGGACTGTTTCGCGGCGCGGAAGTTTCCCCCGTTTAATAATGGAAAGTGTATCCTTACATAATCGCGTTATAAGTACACGTTGTATTACCTTGTACGGACAAGCGGTGTTATTGCGGCAGTCTTCGGCTACCGTGGGAAAGGAGTTGAAGTAATACTTGACGTGATCGTCCGGCAGATCAATGTCCGAGTAATTGGTTTGGATGGCAGTGACCGCGAAAATTAGGACGATCAACGCTGTACATTTGCGCAGCAACGTTTTATCGATCATCGTAGAAGAAGCTGGGGTTCCCTGAGAAGGTGCACTCACTCGCTTCACGGAGCGCGACTGTACTACGTGAATGGAGGAGGAACCACCTGTAGCGATGGGTATATGACCTCACCTTCGGTGCGCCCCTCTGTCAGACGATTCACGGACGCTCGACACCCACACAATTGTGAGCGTGTCTCCTTAAAAGAATCGGTGAAAGTCAATGCTAGATGGTAGACACGGGATGTCTTACATCATTCATCATAGGCGATGCATACCCACCAGTTACCCTTGAAAGTTTCTCAACGAGAGAACGAACACTACCAAGGGATTCTCTTCTATTTCCGAAATCATACCGGCATTTCTGGTCCTGTCAATTCAATCGATAATACACTGGTACAGTATACCGAGGTTTTACATTGAACAAAATGAATAATCCTGTACTCACGTGTACTCGACGAACGCACTGCACACAGTAGTCTACGCGTATTCCCACCTCCTGCAAGCGTGAGATAGGACACTTCCGAGCACAGACGTTTGACTTTATTTCCCTCTCACATACAAGCTCAATTGCCTCTTTGTGTGTAGCTTCAATATGGCGGAGCACTGCCACAACTCCGCAACAGGCGCGTTTTCACTTACGTAAAGCACTTTCAACATTGTTGGTGCACCAATTAAGATAGGTAACAAGTAGCACGTCTTCTGAGACTCATTATAATTGGAACTGTTGGCACTGTGCTGACGGATATTCGATTTCTTCAGGCTGATGTTTTGAATCCCCTTTTCTGTGATGCTTCGCACGTGATAGAGTGAGGCTTTCTAGTAGGCCACCTACAGGTGGCTTTGAAACACAATTGTTGCATTTGCAGTAACTGGTATTATTCTTTTCTATATTGTCAACATCCGATTATTGACTTTCCTCAGTATCATTCGATGATAGTTTGCCAGTTGTTTCCTGCATTACTGTCAGTAGATCTTCCTTATCGTCAAAAGATAAAGCAGAGCACCAAAGTAAACGTCGATTCAATTTTTAATAAATTAAAAGTGAATAAAAAAATATATAAAGAAGCTAACGATAATGTGTATTTGGTCAGGTAAATATTTTGTACCAGTTTGTTTTACATTAGCTCCCAATAATCAAGTATATCATTCACGTTTCAAGAACTTTCTTAAGTCATTGATCGAAATTTTATGTTTGCTAATGCATTATTATTTCGCTACTCTACATGAAATTATTCAGATTCTTATTTAATAAATCCCCGAACAAGTTTTCATTCGTGATTGACAAGATATACATACATGGGATGGCTAGATCGTATATGGAATCATTCTGTCATGGGCACCACTATTGTCTACGTCAGCGGAGAGTGATGGCTTCCGTTATCCAGCATGTTTATACGCAAAATAAACCGAGGTATTGACTCCCGATAAGCCCACGAGACGCGCCTTATGCTAATTCCCTGCGGATACGTCAAAAACCGTTCCGACGTATACGGTAAGAACGGAGTTCGGTCTTCTCCCGAGGCGTGGTCGATGTAGATCGTATCGTCGCAAGTTTATACGATTTTGCTCGTCGAAGAGAGAGAAAGAGAGACAGAGAGAGAGAGAGATACGAATCTAAGGGTCTTGGCGTACGGTGCTTGAAAGACAGCGAGTCCCACACTCGGTTAGGCATGAATCGTTACGTAATCTGGAAGACTCGGGGATAGCTGGGCAACTCTTGTTGCTCGCAGGTGTCTTTATTGGTTCACCGGAGAAACCGTTTCTATGCAATTAAAGTCTGGTTCGGAGGCACAGGTCTTATTGTACGGTTAACAAAAGCGGAACATGCATAAACCTAAGAAAGTTATTTATTTGTTAGAGTGCTCCTTTCTAATTTCATTTTCTGTATCTTCTGCGGCGCAGCCGCAACGGACTGGATAACCGTCTAATGTATGTGGGAACACAATGGACGCGGGACCACGGTGAAAAGTCTGTGTCGACGTGCTCTAGCTATAAAAGTCGGATATTCAACAGTTGTCGACGGGGGGATAACTGCGATCTAAAATCTATTCCAGGCCTATCTTGTCTCTAGCCTGGTACTTGGAATACTGACTGGACAAGCGATCGTACGCGAAACTGAACCTCTTTACGTTACTATCGTAAGTCATCCCGCTAGGCCAATCACGATAATCCAGGAACCAATGCTAATCGATGTGAGAGAGTCGAGATATCGGTTAGGGACAAGAGGATAGTATAGCCACCTCAGGCGTCAACCTGCCGTGGCGTGACCCGGAAACGGATCGCGTTGAACGAGCTAGTACTATGTATATATATACAATATACAAATACATGCACATATATATGTATACCGATGGAGACACACTCGGACTGCCCGGTAAAGGATTACCGTGGATAGATGGAGGAAATGATCTACATCGATCACGATCACGGCACCCTCACCCCGGTTCCCCTTTCTCGACGCTGTTACAACGGTACCTCTTCGTTTGTTCATTATCGACAAAATCGCCGTCATCTTTCTTTCTGATAATTTTATCAGGCTGGATCGAGCGGGCCCAAGACCACGCGATCCGATCTGTGAAACATTGATCCGGGGGGGAGGGGTGCCCCCCCCCCCGATGAAAAATACTGTTGCCCGCAATTACTGAATCGAGTGTCGGGTGCCACGACCCACGCTCGGCATAAGAATGGAATAATGGCCCGTTGTAACCGGGGTATTCCGGGGCGATCAATTTCGCGACAGGGGTTGCATAATCGTTTGATAAACGGGTCTCACGTGGAAGTGTAACACCCGTAGAAAACGCGGCGTGCAAGTTGTAAAACGAGCGCGTGGCATCGGGTGTGTAACCACGGATTGTCCCGCCACGGTGGCGCCACGCTTCACCAGGCGACACGATGCAACCTACGCGAAATCCAGCGCTATAATGTCCCTCATAGGAGAGCTTAGGGTTCCTCCCGCGTGGCAACACGGAGAAAATCGTGGGGGCGGCGCGTCACTGGACAATTGCAACGGGAGTCTTGCGAAACCAGACCATGAGGACACCCACGCTCGACGAAAAAAGGAGGGAAAAAAAGTGCACAACAGACCTGGAGCGAATACAAATTTCCCCGGATGCGCGTACTTTTCGTAGATCGCGCGCTAGGTCCACTGACCACCGGTGCCCGAATAGATGCATCTGTCAACCTGCGCGAACCGTAATACCTGGTCGTATATTCCCGTGAATCTACCTGCGTCTTTTCTCTTTGCCGCCCACACCTATGCCATTTGAATACGCGTGTAACAAACGTAAACTGTAACGATTGTCGTCCCTGCTGGGTAGACAGAAAGTTGGGCCTGTCCGGAGACAACGATTCGTAGATACCTCCCCCAAGCTACAATCGTAAATCGTCAGTGTCAGAACGAAAGAAATCACCAGAATAGATGGATGTCGATGGTCTTTTAGGTGTTTCGAAATACAAACGCGCAGGAGAAAATAACTTACCAGCGAACGGTTACAAAGTGATCACTGTAAAGGGTTAATCTCTCACGTACTCCTCGGGCCTGTGGTGTGAAGTAACGTGTGTAACAGATCGCGCGGTAATGGCGAAGCCGCAGCACCGTAATCTATCCACAATATAATGAACTGAATTAGAATCCGATTATCCCGAATGCCTCGGGGGCCCCGTGGGTTCGTAAGGATAGAAATTACCCGGCGGCATTAGGACTCTAGCCAAAGAAATTCCATCACACGCTAGACTCTCGTTAGCGACGCCGGACTAATCGCTTAATTAATAGATGATAAATGTTTGTAATACCGTTCGGCCAAGTCCCGATGGGCCTCCGCGTAGCGGACTTCGTTACCGCGGCCAATTAATTACACGGGGAACCGATTAAACCGCTCGCGGACTTGCACCCGGTAAGCAAGTGGGGGGACACAAAAACTCATCCTCCGAGCTCTGGTCGAGAGAGAGGTTCACGAAATTTTCTTCGCGGCCACCACACGAGCGATTTATCCTTCGGCCGTTGTCGAGGTCGCGGGGTTACGGTTCCTGATGTCGCGCGGGCATGAAAAAACGCGCGAACCTTAAAATATCGCATGGGGGCTGGCGAAGTGAGTTTAAGGTTTCCTTCGTCCGTGAAGGATCCTTAAATTCCCGGACGGCCCGGGCCACTTTCGAAACCGTACGACGCGACGCGACTTCGAATAACTCTCGAAACGCAGCGGGCCATAAAACACTCCCCCATTGAAATTAATTTCCGATCGCCTTGTCCGATCTTCAGGCGTCGTTTTGGCCGTTGATGCTTAACGAGCCAGCCGCGAACCGACGCGCGGGGAACGGGAGCGTAAATTGTAATCCGCGATTCCTGTTCTACTGACGCAATAATGATGCAAAATTGCTCGATTTGCGGGGTATTGGGAAACGCGGAAAACAAGAATCGTTTAGGAATAAATAACGCACGGACAATGATACTCGGCTGAATTGAGTCCCCTTTCTATTGTCGTCCCTCTCTGCGTGCACACGCGGACCGACGTTGATTTTGCATTATACGCCGAGTCGTAAACACACATTACGCCCCGTAATACCGAGCATTATGCGAGTGTACAGCGAATAGAATGCTCGATACTGATGAAGCCGCAAAACGCTGAAATCCTTCTGGGCGGCTCGTCGCGGTAGATTGCACCGTCATAAAAGACCGCATTAACGATAATCATTTTATTATGGTAAATCTATTCCGGAATTTTGATAGGAATGCTGCTTACGGTTGACCGAGATGTCGTCGGGACACAATGACAAAGTTACCGTTCATTATACCCACACCATGACGCCCGTTAGATCGTAAATGGGAGTTGGTAATTGAAATATTAATGAGATACCAGGCAAACGCGGCAGCGAATCGCGTCTGTGTATGGGTGCTAGAAACGAGAGAGAAGGCTTGGTCACATTAATATCGCTTCGTACAACAATGTGAACGTGTATTAGTGAAGTGAAGACTCTAACGAATTATTATC